ATTTGTTGGTGGGGCTATCCCTACCTACAGCCGGAACGCTGCATAGCTGCCACTTGATCGGCGGCTGGGACAGTCTATGATATAATCAAATCAAACTAGTTCTGAGCTTCAACTCCAAGATGATATTGAGGACGAGCCTCCTGGGTCGGTTCCGGGCGGTGCCGTCCACGGTACTACAATACTCGTAAGCGCGAACGAGTGATTACTGGTAACAAAGTCATGGAGGCGGGAAAGACCTTAAGGGCAGAAATACAGTATAGATCTCAGGGCTCTGAGTACAGGGGAAAACTGCTTCAGTGTGGATAGAAGGAAGCAGTTTAGCAAGAGCGGCTTGATTTCGAGAGGCAATTAAGGGGCAACACCTGTCCTCATAGCTGAATCCTGCAAAGCCGCTTAGTGGGGCTGGGACAATCTATGATCCAATCAATCAACTAGGAGTGGGGGTTGTCACGTTGGAACCACGTGACAACGACAGAGAAGGTACGCAGGTTCACACAACTAATAGGTCCGGGGAAGCGCTACCAGGCCGAGCCAACCACGACGGGCGAAGCCGACCCAGCCAACCGCCAAGACGAGATCATGAGGGTATAAGGAGTAATCAAATCAAATCAAATCAACCCTATGACTACCTCGCCAGAGCCTTTACGCTAAAATGCTAGGAGTTTACAGTACGAGGGCTAACAGATAAAGTTCCATTTCCGCTTCCCTCGTAATCCAAATCGGTTCTTGACATGGGGCAAATCACTCGCCATTCATCCATCATCCCCCTCTCGCTCCAGTTTTGTAAGGAGAACTCACTTCAGATGACCATCGTAGCCACCGAATCTCCAGAATATGAAGCTGTTCGAGGGTCGAGATAAAGGGGATGAATGGGATGAGAGGAAACGTAGGAGCATAAAGATACATAAAGACAAGACCAACGTATTGCTGGACGGCCACCACGGCAAGTGTGACAAGCTGACGAAAAGATGGGAATGGAGGACCCAACTTGGCGCACTTCAGCGGGACGTGGTTTGATTTGGGGCTTTGACAGCGGATTTTGACCCGTTCGCGACGCCCTGGACGAGGTGCCAGATGTCCTCCCGTTGCTTGGCCTCGTACAGGATGTAGCCTGCAATGTCTCGACTGAGTTCACCGCAGACTTCGCGGAGGAAGAGTCCTCGTGATTCGGCGGTCATGTGTGTTTGGTCGATGATTTCGATGATGGTGTCGAAATGCACGGTCACGAATTGCTTCAGGATATTTCGAGTTTCGTCCAATCGCGATGATGTGGTCCGAGATTCCCTCAGAACATGGTCGATGGTGTCCTTCGGAGGGTCATGCTGAGTGGTCTTGTTCCGTGTCTGGTGATCCGTGGTAGAGGAAGTATTGACTCTCTGGAAGGGGCGGTTTCTATTGGGCGGCATGGCAACATCGAGGTGGAGGGACTGGAAATGCGGTCCCGGTCATTCGAGGATGGTTTTGAGCAAAATATTTCGTGGTTTAGAACATGGGAGAAGCATGGCGTGGGATAGATATACCGTATCAGGTTTGAGATTCGTGGTGGTGATTCGCGGATTGAACATGCCACCTAGGCCCAGCGAATGGGGGACGGTGGCGACGGTCGGCCGACGAGGCATATTCTGTGCCAATTCGCAGCGATAAAACATGTGGGGAAAGGCCGAGGTAAACCACGAATGTCCTTGGGTTTCTGGTGCCAGGAAATTCGCAAATCCAGAGACGCCCTCCCCCTGCGTGTATCCGCAAGGCAAGTGCGGCAATTATCCTCCATGGGTTCACACAGTATGTATCGGCTGGACTTATACGCACTAGGCTACGAGATCCGCCTCCTCCCGGTTCCAAGTCGGCAGGGCGTTGATTCGTAGCGGAAAATACTCTTCAAACGCGGATTGGGAGATCTCTACAGGTCAAGACGATCAACGACACTTGATTCGTCCGTCTCAGTCCGTCTGAAGGACCTACGCCGCCCGGTGTCCTTGCCGGTCTGTCTGCCGGGTACTGTAGGGAGGCCACGACGTGTAGGATTTTGACTTGGAGAATTCTCGTGATTCGCCAGTGGCGCGTTCAGGAACATCACCGCACCCTTCCCCATTCGTTGGTTGAACGGTGAACGGGTGTTTGACCCAGAGGTTGACCAGCCATTCGTCTCTGTTGGTATTTCGAGGCCAGAAGACCCTTGGTTGGGAGATACGACGGCCCAGGGACTCGAACCAGACAGTATGGGGCGCGACTCCCATATGAACGCTGCTAGGGCGTTCACGGAGGCCGGGCTGGTCCCCTCTTCCCGATGCCGTCGACCTCTTCCAGGATGGATGTGCACTCGCCGAAAGGACAAAGGAAAGCGTCTGTGGCGACGCCGCCCTCTTCGCCCACCGACCCCAGCCTTCTCGGCGATCCCGTCACCAAAGCCTTTGTTTGCACCACGATAGAAGACTACCGCCAGGTCCTCAACGTCTCCCTGGTCAAATACATATCGAGGAGAGATCATTATCTCTATCCCGGCGATTTCTGGGCCTGGTTCAGCCTGCGCAATTGCATCGTCTGTCTCCTCAAGCTGGGATTCTTGGGCCAGGCCCACTGTGTCTGCTTCGTCGTGAGAGAGCGACTGGAGGAGGCAAACGGGAAGTACTCTCCCATGTGGATGAGCTTGGTGTGTTACGAGACCATCTGCCATCACGAAGCCGGCCAAGAGCAGACGGCGACGGCGTTATACCGCTGGCTGAAAGACCGGCCCTTGCTGCGACTGGGACGCCACCCCGCAGATGACTTCGACGTCCTGGTCTGGTATCGGGCCAAGAGGAGTATCCACTACCTCGTACTCCGTTTCGCCGGAGACCCGTGGGAGGGAGAACCGGTGGCTCACTACGACCAGGTCGTCCATCTCGAAGGAAAGAAGGTCGCGTCATACCTTGGCGCCATCGACAAGGCCAGGCTCAGCAACGATGAAAGCCAGTGGCAAACCGCGGCCTTGATTTTGGGGTCGCCGGAGCCTTGCGACAGATATCGAATGTCCGACCCGTTGAGGACGCTTGCGGTGGTCTCTGCCTCGGAAGGCTCCGTGCACTTCCAGCCTCCCGAGGCCGACATCCGGTCGATCAAATCCCAGCCTTCCGTGTCCGACGTGTGGTCGGTGAGATCCCAGTCCTCCACGAACGATCTTGGTGGATCCCTCGTGAGCCTGATCCCGTTGAGTGCTCTCGGTTCACATCAACGACGGGAGACGAACGGCAATGTGGTCGACACGGCCAACCGTGAGGGCAACGATCCGATCAGACATCGTCAGCCACGAGCTGGTAACACACGGTCCAGAGGTGGCAGTGTACGAAGTCAAATCTCCTGGTGGCCCAGAAGGTCACCGTCAGTGCCGGCCAGGAAAACGGACGGAGGGCGCAAGACACACCTACAAATGACCCCCGCGCTAACTCAGGTGCTGGGATAGGGAAAATTCTTTCGGAAACGAAACCTTGCGGGCACCTTCAGAATGCGACCAGGTTGTTCGCGCCCGAGGACGACCGCTGGTTGATCTTGGCGACCTGTGTTACCGTCGATCATGTCGGCGTTGATGAAGGTTAGAGCTTCGGCGTCCTTTTCTGGATAAATTATACGTTGAGTTTTGTCGGTCTGGGTCGGTCGTGGTTAGAGCTGAGTTGTCACTGGCCTTCTCTATTTTTATTGTAAAGCATGACACGTGAATATCATATATGTCTTAATGTACCCGCTTAGCGGTCTATTGTGGATGATATGCCTTCAATTTCTACTGTCTCAGCTGCCAGCCTCGATTGAGATGGTGGTGCAGTTTTGTTTTCACGGAGGCCCCGCCGGTCCAGGGGCATCCAGCCTGTTCGCCGCACTGGATGAGCCTGGTGTCGGGACCTCCTGAGCCCCTCGAAAATATAACGTCCTTTGGCCGCGGACCGTGTCTCCTTCCTTGTCTTTTATGGCCAAGACTCCTTTCAAATCCATTGGTCGGCGTCCGCCTTAACTTAGACCCTATTTTGCACGCCGTCCAAACCCATTGTAAATGGTTCGCTCCTTCCAATCTTCGGCCCCCCAAGATTGAACAGCCTTCTGCTATCCTCTCCAAAAAGATCCGCATTGTCGTTATTGCTACCAACGACTTGCTCTTGCTGTAAGAATCCCCTCGCGAAGTATGCCAGGTAGGAACACCGATCCCTGAGCAAGGAATCGAAGTGAATGACTAGCGACAGGGCGGACTTTGGGAAGCCTTAAATTGCGCTACCTTGCCACCATACTATCAGCCTTGGCCGCGGTATTCTTCGGTATAGATTGTATACCCTTTGTGCCCATGCGAGATCAAATTCTGAGTCCTGACTTGAATGCCTTCAGCCCTCATCGCGAATAATGGCACGGAGGCCCCGTCAGTAGAGGAATATTACACGAGCCTGGAGTCACGGATTGGGTATTGGTTGTTATTGGGAAACACTCGACACTGCGGGCTCTACCCAAAACGCCAGCTGTGGCCCTTCCCGATCAGCAGAGCGCAACGAGCTATGGAGGATCTAGTATACGACAAGCTCGGTCTGAGCCCCGGATCGTGGGTTCTTGACGCAGGCGCGGGGTCAGGGTATGTGGCTATGCATATGGCAGAAAAGGGATTGATGGTCCAAGCTGTCGACATCACTTCTCTGCACCTGCGAGATGCCCGACGAAATGTTCGAAAGCGGGGACTTGAAGACAAAGTTTCAGTCTCCTGGGGAGACTTTCATGATCTAGCGGAGTTTTCGAATGGCTCATTTGATGGCATCTACACCATGGAAACATTTGTGCATGCAGAAGAACCCTTCAAGGTGCTGCGGAATTTCTACCGACTGCTTCGGCCTGGGGGTGTACTGGTTCATAACGAGGCAGACTTCAGCCGCAATTCCCCCCTGCTCCAGGACGTGCTCCGCCTCTCGCACTGCCCAAATACCCAAGAGCAAGGAGCTCTCACCGCGATGTTGCAGGAGGTTGGTTTTCAGGATATAGAGTTGGAGGAGTTGTCCGACGAGGTACTTCCTCTATGGCGATTATTTGGCATCGTTGGTTTCGTGCCATACAGGATTCTTTATTTCCTCGGGATTCACACTCGTTTCACCAATTTGATGGCTGGCGTCGAAGCTTACTTGCATTGGGAAGAGGGAAGGTATATCTCAGTTAGAGCAGTAAAGCCTTGACCCATGGACATGGCGGACTGCACGGGGGCAGCATTGCCAGACCGTGTCGATGCTCCTGTACAATTTTACACGTGGTCCTACCTGTGTAGATGGCGGTTGTATGGGTGTAAGCAAGGTCCATTAAGAGGCAGGATGGAATGACGATTACTTTGGCGATTTGAATAAAATATGGGGCTTCACAAGTCACGACCGTGTTACTCATTCTTATCTGTGCGCTAACATCTGCAGCGAAGATAAGTCGCTCGATTAGGAAAGACCGCCCATTAAGAGGGCGCTCAACAAAGACACCTACGATGCTATTGAGAAGCAAAGAAACATAAGACCTCGGAGAGACAGGTTCCTTGGAGGATTTCTTGCCGGGAGAAGAAACTAACTTAGATTTTAAAAGTGCGTCTCCACTATTCCTCTTAGCCTGTTTGTCGATTTGATCTGAGGTAGCTCGATCAAGGAAATGGTAAATCGCCGTAGCTACCGACGTAGATCACTTCCCTTTCTCCTCACGGGGGCCCACTGCTGCTTTACAAATCCAAATTGACATCGCGGCCTCCTTCGAGTCGGCGCTTCGCTTCGACTGAAACAGCTGAGATCTCGTCTTGCGCAGACAGAAGGAGGAGGGAGCCGTTGAACTATCTGCGTTTCCATGGCCACCAGTGAGATCGGACCCGCCCCTTTACGTTCGTCCATCCTCGGGCGATGGCCCGTCGACCAGCCAACCTTAGGCGCTGCCTTCGAGTTGGTCGCAACGGGTGATCTGACATTTCGCCGAGCCTTTCCCCGAGGAGGAGGTGTTGGTGCTCGGATGCGGAAATGGCGCGAGGTGGCTTCCAGTCCGAGTCTTCTGTAAAACGACTGTAGTATCGTCCTTGTGTAGCGCCCATGATGCCTGACCGTGGTGAGCAGCCGTGGAGATCTTATATTCGGGTCGCCATTAGCGGACAGGAATATCGGAAATACCTTAAAACACCCAGCCTTCGTGAATGCCAGGCGTGGCTGGAGTCCCCTGAGAGGTGGAGATGCGATGCTATTTATCCGCGACCAGGAAGCGTCGCGAAAAATCGACCGAGGGACCCTGAGTCCAAAAAAGACGCCACCGATTTTGTCGCCCCACGAATCTTTTGATCCTCCGTGACAGGGAATCATTTTCGTGCCGAGACTGCGAGACTGAAATGACCTGGAGTTGCGGTGGTGTGAATGCTCGGTCGGGGAAAGAATCTCAGCAGAGAGTACAGTACATACCGTAACTCAATGTTCTCGAGGCAAAGTTTTAGGATTTCTCTGGATTTATGGCTCAAAATCCCTGCTTTAGCAGGTACGGTAGGCGACTCGCACCGCAGTATTTTTCGCGGCGTTGAAGGTGACAAATTGGTTCCCGGGGGGCCACAAAAGTTCAAAATTCTCCAGAAAAAGAAAACCTTGATCTTGTCTCAAGATTGTCGTCGACCTGTCCCCAAGTCTACGTATCGCGAAATGTTTCGAGCCCCTTGTAGAGACATCAACCATACTATAGAAGGACGTGCCCTGCCACTGGATATCCTGGGTGTCCACCATTGTTGCCCTTCGCAGTGCCTCTCTATTTTTGCATCGCGCCAATCAACATGTGCTTTATTCGCACAACCATCATCGCCATCACCCTTTCCTGCATGGTCGGGATCGCTGTGGTCACCGTGGTTATCTTGTTGACGACGACCAATAGCTTCGGCAACCATCCCACCACCGGTGGCTAGGGGTTCCTCTCTCCAGAGTTGACTCTCCGCCGGTAACCCGTCCTCGACGCGAACGGGGCCGGATCGGGGCCCTTCTTCTTACCATCGTGGTTGACAGCGTGTATGGGCGAGGATAGAACTCTGCGAGACCAGGAAGGCACGAACGCTGGATGTTTCGAATCCTCTGGTCTCCCTCCCCACCAGGTGCCATTACCACAATTGTTACAGTACTGCAATGCGAACTTCAATGTCTGTTCCTGTAAGTATGAAACAAAAAAGGTGTAAATTTTGAGTTGCTTACCCCCGCCAAAGGTGTACCCTTTAATCTCTTGTTGGCCGGTCCGACCACAACGATATACCCATCTGCAAACGGCGTCATTTCAGACTGTAATGCTGCTACGTGGGCCCCACGCTCCCCATAGGCGATCAGTCGGTCCGCTCTCTGGAATGTGAGTGGGGCTGCACGGCATTGCTAACTTAATTAGTTCGCGGGGGGTGGCTCAACATGGCCTCACTGCGCGAAGTCGCTTCCAAGGGCATGCGGACTGGTTCTCGATCCACACAGCTATCCACGCTCGCTATCTAAATCCTTGGAATTCGGAGCCAAGGAGTGGTTCTGTCTATTCTGCTCGCCCGAGCCGGTCATAAGGTCGAAACCATCCGTGCACCTCCTTATAGGATTTACTGAAGATGCCAGTACAAGACCGGCGCTCTGCAGGAATGAACATGGAACTCTTCATCATTTGGTTCCGGGTCGCACAACCCATGTTCAGTCGATATCCTTTGCGCTTTCCAGTCTCTAGTGCGCCGTATGTTGGAGGCTAGGGCGTCATATTCCTAGAAGCAGCACAGCTGACGTTAATGTTTTCATCCGATTTGACAAGGCTCTCTGAAGTGCTAGATGCTGCCATTGCAGAATCAGAGAGAAAGCGCCGTGGATGCAAATGTTGTGGCTCCCCGCTGCGTCTTGCTGGGGCCACCAGGGATGGGTGATCCACAGTCTGTCACGGAGTGCTGTATACTGTCGTCCTTTCCAAAGACCACTGCACCTCCGCGTATTCCTGAGGATGTAATGTTTCAGATGATTGGGATAGGAGATTCGAGAACTCCTTCAACCACACACTTGAGCAGCGTTGCGGGTGGGCCTCGGTGCATTCATCTGATGGACTGTGCTATATAATAAGTAGCAGGCGACCGACTGATCAGTCGAGGCGTTCTTGAGAGACCGCATCCATCCCGGGTCACGATTGGTTGAATGTCGGACCCGGTCATTGCAATGTAGAACTGGCTGCAGGGCAATGGTGTACGTGCAGGAGACATACTGAAAGTCAGGTTTCAACATCTTCCCGAATCCTCGACAAGGAACGTGACCGCGCCGATGGATCGTACAAAACTCACCCAAGTCTTACCCAATGACAGCACTGTAAACACTGATGGTTTGATAGGGTCATCCTTGCAAGAGAGAAGACATCCCTAGCCTTCTAATTGACCTCTCGGCATCTTGACCCATCTTTTGTACTGCTTCTGGGTATAATAGGGGGCTTTCAAGAACATAGGGGAATCGCTGTACGTGCTATACTAGGATCTCATACTAGATCTATGTCGCGGTATGTGATCCTAGATATGCATCGCAATCTTCGGAGACAAATTACAAATCCTTGATGGACAGGAACTTTCGTGCAGCCTCGGCGTCGGGGAGGATGTGTCGGCTCCTCGACGTCATTTGGATTCAAAACGAAGAGATCGCCTTCGTCTTCGTCCTTGTCAATCTTACAAGACTGGCGCAGTAGCAAACATATCGCCGTGGCCGCCGCCTGTTCCAATCATCGGTTCACGATAAGGTTTACGCTGCTAGTTAACACTGCCCTTGAGTGATAAGCCAAACGACCTTTCAATGCTGCGCAAGACTCCATCTGAAGGTACCGTTTCCAACGTCCATCATCTTACTAGGTTACCACCGCCGGCGGCGCCACAGTGATTTCTGATGGTGGGACACCTGCCGACGGTGTGCCTGCATTCCACCAAGCTATCCTCATCAATCTTGTAAGGATGGGAAATGCCGTGGTCAAGGTAAGAAATGGGATCTTCGGTGCTGCGACGCAGCTGTACAGCAGAAGGCGGTTTTGCATCCGTCTGTAAGGCCTATGAGGAGAACCCCGAGCATGGGGTTTGCGGGGTTCTCGAATGGTGCGTAGATCGGGTGGGAGGAAGGGAGGAGAGCGCCAGAGGTCACTTAGGCGTGCAGGATGGACCATTGACGAGCCAGAAAGATGTCCACTGATAGTAACTCAGGACGCTCAGGGCCGCACGCTGACCCAATCGGAGTGCCATGTGGACTCACACGCATACACTACATTCCCAGCTCCAGTGTCGAAAGTGCCGGACTTGGGCCCGCTGGGAGGAGCAAGTGTTCGATTTGCTTTGGCGCTCACGAGCGACGAACAAGGAACCAATCCGGATCGGCCTCACACCCGAGCGGAGAAATCTGCGGGTCGGTTTTATGGTTCCTGGAAAGCGCCGCGCACACGTTTCCGTCCTGACCTGAGTTCGTGGTGGTGGCACCGTCCGTCCTTTAGTTACAGTATTCCCAATCATTGTTCGTTCCATATCGATATCAGGGCTAGGACTTGGAAACATGGCGATTTCGAGCCTCCCGCCATTTTCTCACCCCCAGTGGATCCAATGCGCCCATACCCAATACGTCCATAAAAGCGATGTGACACCAACGAGATGCCCGAGTCCGCGGTTGGCGCCTCCCCCGCTGGTGGCTGTCCCTCTCGCTCTCAACAGAACTGGCCGATGCGCCTGACCATGCTTCTCTTGCCGAGCGAGATCCGGTGCCGGGTCTATCGACTGGTGTTCACTCAGCAGCGGGTCTGGGAGAGCTTGGCAGGCGTTCTGCTGGTCTGTCGACAGGTTCGGTCCGAAGCACTGCTGGAATTCTATCGCTGCGCTCGCTTTTCTTTCCGCCACCGCCAACAAGTCCAACGGTTCGCGCTCGGCGCCGGTCGGTTCACGGATCAGGTGCGACAGGTGGAGGTGGTGCCTCGCGACGGCACCCAGCTGATCCGCTATTCCGTCGTATACCACCTCCTCAAGACCATCTACGCACTCGCACGGCATTTGCCATCCCTCGAGCAGATCGACGTGATGCCCCTGCCCGGGGCCAAAGGCGACCCGTGGCAGAGTGGGCGACCCGTCCCGAGCCAGCTGGCGCGCCGTGTCCGGAGGGAAGTCCTCTATAAATTGATCTTCTGGACCACGGACGAAGACCTGCGAAGACGCGCCGCCCCGACACTTTGCGAGGGGGACGGAGGCCGCCAGATCCTCTGGGGCCGCGTCCCGTTGCGACGACTCCCCGACGACCCTCGACGGACCACGATCATCTTGGTATTTGAGGTCGACCTTCCCTCCTCCGAAACCCGACAAGCTAGCTAGATGGTGAAGGTCGAGAGATTTTTCCTCGTTGGAGACGACCGAGCCATGGCGGCCCGCTGGGGATTGGGGGGGAGAGGATGGTAGTCAATGCGTTCATTCACCACCAGAGAGGGGGATGTATATACCTCCGAAAGATTGTGAGCAGCTCCGCAGACGAGGCAATCGGCCCCGGCCGCCTACTGAAAAGAGATGCTTTCGTTGGCTGGTATACTAACCCCAGCCAGATACAGTCCCAGTGATCAGAAACGGCCTTTGGCATCTCACTGGCGGGCTTCAGTCCCTTAGCTTTTTACGTCAGATAGAGAGGTCTGATGCACGCCAGAATCAGCTGGGCAACCTCAACGCTACCATACCAGATCAACTAGGCTTGACGACGGGCACTCCAGTCAGTGCGAGTCCAATTCAGGCTTTGCCAAGGGAGAGGATTGATAACTCGGTCCAGGGTGATTTAGGTAAAGAAGAGTGTCCTATATGTCTTAACACAGTAGAAGCAACAAAATTGCCATGGGGTCATTGGTTCCACGTCCATTGTGTTGTGCCATGGTTGAAGGAACATGACCCTTGCCCGAATTGTCGAGGCAACGTCGAGCCTGCCGAAGCCTAGGCAGAGAGGTCGTTTTAGAAATGGCCCACCAAATCTGCCACAGGTTTCTACTCCGCGACAAAGGTACCCGAAGAACCTTGGGCCGCAATTGTATAAAGTTTTTCTCAACTCTGCCTGTCCTCACAATGTGAGAGGAGTGAGTGGTGATCGATGGCTGCTTGGTAGAGGGCGTTAGTACTCTAGACCTAGGCATATAGTGACCAAACATCCAAGCATAATCGGTAGAGGTTAAGCTCGGGGTGCAGTTGGTGCAAAGAGCGAGCCTCAATAAGAATTGCAGGGCGTCAACGTGGCCACCGCCACGAGGGCCTAGCTGGCCGTCTCAAGATAGCAAGCATCGTCCCGGAGCCCTTGGATGCAAGTTCTCCGAAACTCTCTTCTCTTTGCGCGACTACTACATACATAATCATTCCGAGCAATCTTTTTCCTAGTCTCCATAATGTCGCTCTCTTAAGAGTGCAGAAAGACTGTTCGAATCTCCAATGAACTGGAGAGAGCCCGCGCCTGCACACACGCTGCTAGCATTGATAGGTTGTTCGGACATAATAATCAGTCTGCTCCCACCGGGCGTCGAGATATCCAATTTTGTGCCAGCAGGGAAAACCCCGTTGATAGTAGTTTGCCCAGAGCCACGCGACACTTGCGGGCGGGAAGAGGACGGAGTTACCTGTCCAAGGAGCTTCGCGGTCTCCTTAAGCCTATAGCGTTGAGCATCCGTGAGCGCACACCCCCAACCGTCCGTCGAATTTGCGTCAGCGCCTCGTCGCAGCAACTCCATGACAACCGTCTCATTCTCCCACTTGATAGCATAGATGAGCGCGCAACCCCGGCGGTCCGTCGAATTTGCGTCAGCGCCTCGTCGCAGCAACTCCATGACAACCGTCTCATTCTGCCACTTGATAGCATAGATGAGTGCACAACCCCAGCGGTCCGTCGAATTTGCATTAGCCCCATTCTTGAGTAATAATATCACCTCTTCTTCGTCTTCACGCTTTATGGCCTGTGTCAATGATTTACGAATTCCATCGGGTTTATTAGCAGCAGGGACGGACATGTGATCCGATTGTAGAGTTATGCGTGCAAAATTGATTCTCTTGACTTGTCTCTCTGGTTCATCTCCTGTTGTTGCATCGTTCGGTTCGGTTAGGGGGATAGCGTCGCGGTTTGACTCCTTGATTAGAAAGCCAGTTTCACTGGGCACGGGATTTGCATTCGAACGCAGGCGCTGATCCGTATCACTCCGCACCACCGGGTCGTTTTCTTCGCACTTTGGTTCGATGACTTTCGATGCATCTAAGCATATAGATATATCGTGGTCTCGTCTACACAGCAATAAATTAGTATACTACACTTACTGGAGCTCCGAGAAAACTGCGTACTTGCCTGAACCAATCGTGCTTTCATCCTTGGAGGAGATCTCTTCCGTTTGACTAGCCACTCGAAACGTGCTGTCATGTTCTCGCACGCTTTTGTCATCTTCGCTAATGTCCTGAGTTCCTGTTCCACCTGTGTTGGCGACTACCATGGTCCAATCGTCCTCTCCATCAGCAGCAGAGGCCATGGTTGATAAGTTTGTCGCGACTGTGTCAAGTTAATACACGAGCCCTTCAGTTAAAAAAGTAGTTGAAATATGGCGTGAGCGTGCAGTTGAGCTCATCTACGATAAGCACAAAATTATCGGCAATCTGTGCTTCGACAGGTGAGGGCAACATTGAAGGATCCTAAAGGAAGCAGGTGTCGCCGTGCGTTTCTTGCCACTTATGCGAAGCGCTGACAAGTCCAAAGGTCGCCCTGTGATGGGAAGGGGACATGATCATTCCTAAGACGGT